CATAAACATACTGGATCTTATAGTGACATGTATCCCAAGAACAGACCATTAATCTGTAAAAGAGCATTGTTGAGCATATCTCGCAGGTCGGGGATCAAATGCCAGCATTATAGCTACTATTTCATGCATTAAAAAAAATTATTTCTCAGCGCAGTATTGTAAAAAGATACAGAGAAGCTTCTACTAACCGGCATTTGAAAGGAATAACAAATGAAGAGTATGTAGAGTTACAGATTGACACAGAGCACTATTTGATTGTAATTCAAAGTTAATCTCGCCCGTCTTCCGTCGTACTGGACCGCACCCAGGACTAAGAGCACAGACATGAATAAACTAATGTTTTTTTCTTTTTTTTTTTTTTTTTGTTAGGACAGAATCTGCATGTTGTGCCAGGTAGGCTATCTTGAACTCATGCCTCACGCATCACTCTGTGCAGCCTCCAAAGGCATGATTAACAACATTCAGTACCACCAGAAACCAGGCAGAATCCAGTCTGCAGAAACAGGTCAACAGACAGCCCTGAAAACAGACATTCTTAATGTTACATGTTATATGTGCTAATTCACAAATAATGGAATAAAATAACCCTTTTTTCTTTTTTTTGAGACAAGGGGCCAACTCAATTTACGGCCAGGCTGAGTGCAGTGGCACATGACTCATGCACTGCAACCTCAGCCTCCTGGGCTCAATGATTCCTCCGCACTGAGCTTCCAAACAGCTGGGACTACAGGTGTGGTGACCATCCCAGCTAATTTTGTGTATTTGTCAGAGATGGGTTTGCCGTGTTCCCAGATATGTCTCAAATTCCTAGTTAAGTAATCTCTACCTGGCTCTAATGTCGGATTACAGATGTGAGCTACATGGCCTGCCCAGCAATCCCATTACTAATAGTTCTTTCATATTTAATGATGGATTTTTGTGAACCCTTTATTGGCCTGTTCTTCTTCCTTTCCTTTCCCTTAAAAATCCAAGCGCAGTGGCCAGGGCATGGGCTCATGCCTGTAACCCAGCACTTTGGAAAGCCCGAGGCACGGCAGATCATAGGTCAGAGTTTGAGACCCAACCTGGCCAACAATACACTGTCTCCACTAAAATGCAAAACCGGTGGGGCAGGTGTCATGCGTAAGTCTCACCTACTCCAAGCGAGGCTGAGGCAGAAGAACACTTTAACCCAGGCAGAGCGGGGCAGGCCACGCACAAGATCAGTGCCACTGCACCCAGCCCCAGGGGACAGTACAAGACTCGCGTCTAAAGAAAAAAAAAAAAAAAAAAGGAAAAAACCTCCAAACAAGAAAAAAACCTCTGAATTGGTGTAATGGTAAATATATCCCAATATATCCAAGTTTTCCACTCCTTCTCCCCTTTTTTCCATTTTCATGATTCCCTCTCCTATAACTGATGTCAGATCCTCAAATGGCTCTAGGATAGGAACTATTATTTGTTGAGTACCTACGGTCTGCTTTAAGCATAAATGTAGAAAAATTTCTTACAAGCAGAAATTTTCTGGGAAAAGAGATTAGTTTGTGCTGGGCGACCACTTTTATAAGTTGCATGTGGAATTGTGGGAGACCCCCAAGAGGCACACTGAACTAATTAGAAATAGTCACCATCAATCTGATTCTCAGGCTCTTGTTTGGTTGAAGAATATACACAGAGAGCCAGAGCTGAGCTATCTAGGGCAATGGAGGGACATTTTGGAGGTGATATGGGAAAAAAGGAAAGGAAATGGAACAACTGGCAGGTGAAGAATGGAAATATCTAATGGTTAATTGCATTAAATTTTTTTTTTTTCGAGACAGAGTGTCGCTCTGTTGCCCAGGCTGGAGTGCAGTGGTGTAATCTCAGCTTACTGCAACCTCTGCTTTCCCGGTTCAAGTGATTCTCCTCCTGCCTCAGCCTCCCGAGTAGCTGGGACTACAGGCAAGCATCATCATGCCCAACTAATTTTTGTATTTTTAGTAGAGACAGGGTTTTGCCATTTTGGCCAGGCTGGGCTCGAACTCCTGGCCTCAAGTGATCTGTCCACCTCAGCCTCCCAAAATGCTGGGATTACAGGCATGAGCCACCATGCCTGGCCCCCATTTCCCCCAATTCTTTGATATCTGGTTCAAGTATTCTTAGCTATTATCTTTTAGTTAGTGATTTGGATGAAATGCTTTACTTTTTTTAAACATTGTGGTTGTGACTAAATAAAAATTGAGTTTGCATTTTTCCAAATTAAAGGAAAAAAAGGTAGCCATAAGGAATCACAAATATGACTAGGGTAGGGTGAGAAAGGGGAGAGTAGCAAATGAAGGCAGAGTTAGACAGGGGACCACCAGACCCTCAGTGCCTTGTAGGCCAGGACAAGGAGCTTGGCTTAACCCTGAAAGAAATGGGGAGTCGCTGGAACATTTTCAAACTTTTGGATTTTTGACAATTGAATAGATTTAAAATATGGTTTTACACTGGCTTAAACTTGTATATATATATTTTTCCTACTAGAAAGGTTGGGGCCGGGCGCAGTGGCTCAAGCCTGTAACCCCAGCACTTTGGGAGGCCGAGGTGGGCAGATCACAAGGTCAAGAGATTGAGACCATCCTGGCCAACATGGTGAAACTCTATCTCTACTAAAAGCTACAAAATTTACCCTGGCATGGTGGCGCATGCCTGTAGTCCCAGCTGCTCAGGAGGCTGAGGCAGGAGAATTGCTTGAAACCAAGAGGTGGAAGTTGCAATGAGCCGATATTGCACCATCGCACTCCAGCCTGGGTGACCAGAGTGAGACTCCATCTCAATAAATAAATAAATAAATAAAAGGAAGGAAGGGAAGAAGTAAGGAAGGAAGGGAGGGAAGGAGGAAGGGAGGAAGGAAGGAAAGAAAGAAACAGAGAAAGGAAAGAAAGGAAAGGAAAGGAAGAAAGAAAAAAAGTTGGGCATCTTTTCACATCTAAAAGCCATTTACATTTGCTTTTCTAAGATTGTATGCAAATCCTTTCCCCGTTTTGTGGGTGGAGAGGCTTTATTAGTCTTTGTAATGCACTACTTCCACAGTGCAGACCCAGCTTAAAGATCACCACTTTAGTTTTTCCTCTGAGGAAAAAGAAGATTAAGAATGGTGAGGTCGGCCGGGCACTGTGGCTCACGCCTGTAATCCCAGCACTTTGGGAGGCCGAGGTGGGCAGATCACGAGGTCAGGAGATCAAGACCATCTGTCCACCAGGTGGAAACCCGTCTCTACTAAAATACAAAAAAAATTAGCCGGCGCGGTGGCGGGCGCCTGTAGTCCAGCCACTCAGGAGGCTGAGGCAGGAAATGGCGTGAACCCAGGATGCGGAGCTTGCAGTGAGCGGAGATCATGCCACTGCCTCCAACCGGGGCGACAGAGTGAGACTCCGTCTCAAAAAAAGATAATGAGGTCCAGCCAGGCATGGTAACTCACGCCTATAATCCAAGCATTTTGGGAGCGAGGCGGGTGGATCTCCTGGGGTCAGGAGTTCAAGACCGCCTGGCCATCATGGTGAAACCCCATCTCTACTAAAAATGAATTTAAAAAAAAAAAAAAGCCGGTGTGGTGGCGTGCACCTGTAGTCCCAGTTACTCGGGGGCTGAGGAAGGAGAATTGCTTGAACTCAGGAGGCAGAAGTTGCAGTGAGCTGAGATCTCGCCACTGCACTCCAGCCTGCTGACAGAGTGAGACTGTCTCCAAAAAAAAAAAAAAAAAAAAAAAGTGATGTCGGGTCTTGCCCCTCCCCCACACTGTCAACTGCTTTAAAAAAAAAACAAAAAAAACAACAAGAAGGTTAGACAAGCAGTTTGTCCTGAGAGGGGCAAGTGCAGACTGATTTTCTGCTTAGGGCATAGCAAAGCTGGAAGACAAAAAAGGAAAAAAAATTAAGAATTTCAAAATGAAAGAGACATCTTGGGAAAATTAATTAGACCTTTCTTGTACTTTCTTACACTTACTTTGTGATTTAGAATTGCATATATTTTGACGTACATTTGGAAAGGTGCACACTATAACCTTTTTCGTCTTGGAATCCTTAAAGGTCATAATCAGGCTCCAACCACATGCTTTGGGAGAACTCTGAAATATTAAACCACAACAGGGAGGCTAATCATAGAGGCTATCACACAATGGGATCAAAATAGAAACAACCTTCATATGTATCTGAATCAAAAATGAAGGGCAGAGTAAATCTATTTCACTACCCATACTTCATTTTCTTTTTCTTTCTCTGTCACCAGGCTGGAGTGCAGTGGCACGATCTTGGCTCACTGCAACCTCCGCCTCCCGGGTTCCAGCTATTCTTCTACCTCAGCCTGCCAAGTAGCTGGGATTACAAGCGCCCGCCACCATGCCCAGCTAATTTTTTTATTTTTAGTAGAGATGGTGTTTCACCATATTGGCCAGGATGATCTCGATCTCCTGACCTGGTGACCCGCCTGCCTCAGCCTCCCAAAGTGCTGGGATTACAGGCGTGAGCCGCCACGCCCGGCCTGCCATACTTCATTTTCTATTCAGAAAAGCTCAATTTTGGGTTACATGGGCATGCCCTGGGATAATCAGAAAAAATAAAATCAGTATAAGGAAGAGCATATTGATTTCGGGTTTTAAATGCAAGTAGGTGAGGCTGAGTTTGACAGATGTGTCCTCAGCTGGTTGGTTGGTTGTTTTTGAGACAGAGTCTCTGTAACCCAGACTGGAGTACAGTGGTGCAATCTTGGCTTACTACAGCCTCTGCCTCCCCGGTTCAAGCAATTCTCAATTCTCATGTTTCAGTCGCCCAGGTTGCTGGGATTACACAGGTGCACCCACACGCCCAGCTAATTTTTATATTTTTAGTAGTGACGGGGTTTTGCCTTGTTGTCCTGCCTGGTCTCGAACTCCTGGCCTCAAGTGATCCACCTGCCTCGGCCTCTCAAAGTACTGGGATTACAGGCAAAGCAAATAAACAATGAAACAACAAAAGAACGAAGACAGGGATTTCTTGAAAACAAAAGTACACTCCATAGTGGGGAAGCAGACCCACACAGCAGCTCAAGGGGCCCAGATACAGAATCTTCTTGGGTCCAAATACCCCCTAGAAGTTTCCCATTGGTCACTTTATGCTTACTCAGTGTAACTGAAGTGGTAGCCCACAATCAGTCTGAGTGGTTGCAGAAAGCAACCAATCAGAGGCCAGGGTGAAGTTACAAAATTATACTATTATGCAAACGGAGACTCTCCTGCCATCAGTCTGATTGGTTGTGGACAGCAACTGTGTCCAGAATGGGTGGGTTCTTGGTCTCACTGACTTCAAGAATGAAGCCGGGGACCCTCGCGGTGTTACAGTTCTTAAAGATGGTGTGTCCGGAGTTTCTTTCTTCAGACGTTCAGATGTGTCTGGAGCTTCTTCCTTCTGGTGGGTTTGTCGTCTCACTGTCAGTAGTGAAGCTGCTTCCCTGGTGAGTGTTACAGCTCTTAAAGGCAGCGTGTCTGGAGTTGTTTGTTCTTCCCAGTGGGTTCGTGGTCTCGTTGGCTTCAGGAGTGAAGTTGCAGACCTTTGCAATAAAGGCAGCGTGGACCCAAAGACTGAGCAGCAGCAAGATTTATTGCAAAGAGCGAAACAACAAAGCTTCCACACCAAAGAAAGGGACCCCAAAACGGTTGCCACTACTGGTTCGGGCAGCCTGCTTTTATTCCCTTATCTGACCCCACCCACATCCTGCTGATTGGTCCATTTTACAGAGCGCTGATTGGTCTATTTTACAGAGAATTGATTGGTCCGTTTTGACAGAGTGCTGATTAACAATCCTTGAGCTAGACACAGAGTGCTAAATGGAAAAGTTCTCCAAGTCCCCACTAGGTTAGCTAGACACTGAGTTAGCTAGATACAGATTATCAATTGGTGTATTTACAAACCTTGAGCTAGACACAGAGTGCTGATTGGTGTATTTACGATCCTCTAGCCATAAAAGTTCTCCAAGTCCCCATCCTGCTCAGGATCCTAGCTGGCTTCACCTAGTGGATCCTGCACCGGGGCTGCAGGGGGAGCTGCCCGCCAGTCCGGAGCCGCGCCTGCACTCCTCAGTCCTTGGGCGGTCGATAGGACCGGGCCTCACGGAGCAGAGGGCGGCTCCCGTCGGGGAGGCTCAGGCCACGCAGGAGCCCACCGCAGGGGGTGGAGCTCAAACATGGCGGGCTGTAGGTCCCTAGCCCTGCCCCGCGGGGAGACAGCTAAGGCCCAACGAGAATTTGAGTGCGGCGCGGGCGTGCCGGCACTGCTGGGGGACCCAGCGCAACCTCCGCAGCTGCTGGCCCGGGTGCTAAGCCCCTCACTGCCCTGGGCCGGCGGCGCCGGCTGGCCGCTCCGTGTGCGGGACCCGCCGATCCCCAGCCCGCGCCCGCCGGAACTTATACTGGCCCGCGAGCCCCGGGCGCAGCCCCGGTTCCCACCCGCACCTCTCCCTCCACACCTCCCCGCAAGCAGAGGGAGGCGGCTGCGGCCTCAGCCAGCCCAGAGAGGGGCTCCCACGGTGCCATGGCGGGCTGAAGGGCTCCTCAGGCGCCGCCAGAGTGGACGCTGAGGCCGAGGAGGTGCTGAGAGTGAGGGCTGCTAGCACATTGTCACCTCTCACAACCATTCAGAGGCTTCAATGAAGTTACAAAGTTGCAAATGAAGACTGGAAGGCACTCAGTGTGGTTTCTTGCGGACGGTCAATTTCCCATCTGCCATGCATGAAAGGTCCAAGGGAATAACCTCTGGTTCTTTTGTTACTTAGGCGTGGAAAGTTGGGGTTTTCCTTTCAATTTAGTTCTAGGAAGTCACGTGAAACAGCCATAGGTTCCCTGCCTCCAGACCCTATTCTCCTGCCTCATTACTGCAGTCTTCTCTGCCCGCCTCTTTTAGCGACTAACATAAGATGAGGATCCATCTTCTAATATCCCTCACCAGTCCTTCCCCTCCGTCATTTAGCGAACCGCTCACTGGGCACTGGGACTTTGGGGAGAGTCCCAGGAGGCCCCTCTTCGTCCAGGGGCTATTTTTTTCCTCTTCCAGCCTCCATCTCCTAACTCAAGGGGTACAGCTCAGTCAGATTATGTTTGGCGCCCCGGGACAGTGACAAACCCAGGGTCCGTGGATAGAGGAGGCATCTCACTACGCTGCACGAGGCCACCTCGCAGTAGGCATCCCAGGCCTGCCCAAAAACCCAAGAGCCTAACCAGGAAGACAGGGGGAGGCCGCGGGCTTCATCTCCCAGGAGATGGACTACACCTCCCAGCAGGCTCTGCGCGCAGGCTGAGGATCCCTCCGCTCTTTTTTTTGTCCCGCCGGCTCGGCCCCCCGCGACCAGCCAAGGGCTAAGGCCAGGTATTTCAGAATCTGAGGTCCGTATTCTTATCACATTTCCGGGGAGGGACGGCTAGGAGCTCCGGAGGAAAAACGGACTTTTTTTTGAGGAGAAAAGCGGAGGCAGACGGTGGATGACGAAGCACCCCCGCAACTGCAAGTTTTCGCGCGCTTTGGCGCAGGTGGTTGTGGGTAGCGCGCCTGGGAGGGAGAAAGAAGTCGGGGGCCGTGGCGCGCCGCCCGCGGGGCCTGAAGGGATGTTCGAGGACGAGTCCCACGCTGAGGGGGTGGCGGTGGTCGCCGCAGCCGGGGAGGCGCTACAGGCCCTGTGCCAGGAGCTGAACCTGGACGAGGGGAGCGCGGCCGAAGCCCTGGACGACTTTACTGCCATCCGAGGCAACTACAGCCTAGAGGTGAGCGGCAGCAGGTAGGGCGGCCAGACCCTACCCTCGCCAGGCCCCACCCCTGCCCCGCCCCTTCCCCGGCCTATGGGGTGGTGGGAGTTTCCCCATCTAGGAGGGTCGCTGCGCAGCCAGGCGCCGAGGGGCGGGAAGGGTGGGTGTTGCTCAACCAATCCGCCCATCATTTTGAGGCGGGAAACTGAAGCCCAGGAAAGGAGCGGCCTAGGCCCTGCGCCACTCAAACCCCGGTCTTCCTGACCACACTTTACCCCGCTAAGCGCCACAAACGTCATGGTGGTGACCTTAAATCGGTAAGAACAAATATAATGGTAAAGTGAAAATGAACTGCCTACCAAGACACCACTGGCCAGAGCTTTAAATGGACCCTCTCAGTTCCGTCTGAACCCCTTCTGTGATCCCCGTTCCACGCAAGAGGAAGCGGAACCCCAGACAGGTTAAGCTACAGGCCCAAGGTCACACGGTTAGAGATGGAGCCAGACCCAGGGTCTGAGCCGTTTAACCTCCACCCTCTGCTTCATCAGGGTGGAGCTGCTGGTTGCTGTGCAGCGGTTTGATCAAAGCCAGTGTGCATACGAAGCTGATCTCAGCCCTACGTTTCCTCCTCTGTCAGAGCATCGTCCTGATGCTTTGCATCAGCGTCTAGCTCTGAATAAAACAAATGTCAGTTATAATTACTCGATTTTTTTCCCCATCATTCTTGCATTTTATCTTCACAACAGCCCTGTGAACATGGCATGGCAATGAGTATTAGACCTGCTTTCCAGGTGATAATGGCAAGGCTCAGAAGGTTGTCTTGCCCAGGGTTATTCTAATACAGAAACCCAGGCTGGGCGTGGTGGCTCACGCCTGTAATCCCAGCACTTTGGGAGGCCAAGGCGGGCGGATCATTTGAGGCCAGGAGTTTGAAACCAACCTGGGCAACATGGCGAAACCCCGTCTCTACTAAAAACTACAAAAATTAGCTGGGTGTGTTGGCGCCTGCCTGTAATCCCAGCTATTTGGAAGGCTGAGGCAGGAGAATTGCTTGAACCCAGGAGGCATAAGCTGCAGTGAGCAGAGATCACACCACTGCACTCCAGCCTGGGCGACAGAGCAAGACTCTATCTAAAAAGAGCAAGATGAGCATAAGCCTGATGGAGTGTATTTCATGTAGCACTCCACTGGCCCCATGTTCAAAGACTTTCATGTGCCAAGGGCGCTGGACCAACTCCCAGGGTGCACCACTGACTCACCACCCAGTGAAATAATTGCTGGGTTCAAAGGCATAGAGTTGGATGTATATTGACTGTGTGCCTATATATGAAGGAAAAGTACCTGAAAAAGTCTTCCAAACTGGATAGACTGAGTAAAGGACAATGGTCCACATCCGTGGGTGGCATGACTGGAAAGCTGTGGGAAGAATAAGAAAGTAAGGGAGATTAGCCAGAGACGGTGGCTCATGCTTGTAATCCCAGCTCTTTGGGAGGCCAAGGCGGGCGGATCACGAGGTCAGGAGATTGAGACCATCCTGGCTAACACAGTGAAACCCCATCTCTACTGAAAATACAAAGAATTAGCCGGGCATGGTGGCGGGCACCTGTAGTCCCAGCTACTCAGGAGGCTGAGACAGGAGAATGGCCTGAACCCGGGAGGCGGGGCTTGCAGTGAGCCGAGATGGCGCCACTGCACTCCAGCCTGGGCCACAGAGTGAGACTCTGTCTCAAAAAAAAAAAAAAAGAAAGAAAAAAGAAAGACAGATTAGAATGAATGCCCTCTCAATTGAAAACAGATTGATTTTTGAAAGCCTGAAAAAGCATTTCTGACATCCTAGGTCACATTTGGTCTCTCTTGCCCAAGGTCACACCATCTGTCATTGAATAAGTATTTACTGTGTCAAACTACGGTCAAGGCGTGCACCTGTTTCAGATTCTTGAATATGACAAGCTTGTTCCCAGTTTTGTGGCATATCCATGCCGTTCCCTCTGCCTGGAATCTTTCCCATCACCCCCAACACCAGGAAAGGTTGAGAGCTAAATCTCTAGTTAGGCAGAGTTGAATAGGACAACTTCAATGTTTGCTTTATTTATTTATTGGTTTTTTTTTCTTTCTTTCTTTTTTTCTTCCTTAGAAACAGGGTCTTGGCTGGGCACACGGTGGCTCATGTCTGTAATCGCAGCACTTTGGGAGGCCAAAGTGGGCAGATCTTCTTAGGTCCAAGACCAGCCTGGCCAGCCTGGTGAAACCCCGTCTCTACTAAAAATGTAAAATTAGCCGGGCATGGTGACATGCGCCTGTAATTCCAGCTACTGGGGAGGCTGAGGCAGGAGAATCACTTGAACCCGGGAGGTAGAGGTTGCAGTGAGACGAGATTGCGCCATTGCACTCCACCCTGCACAACAAGAGTAAAACTCCATCACAAAAAAAAAAAAAAAAAGAAAGAAAAGAAACAGAGTCTTGCTCTTTTGACCAGGCCTGGAATGCAGTGGTGCAATTGTAGCTCACTGTAAACTCAAACTCCTAGGCTCAAGTGATCTTCCTGCTTCAGCCTCCCCAGTAGCTGGGACTACAGGCATACGCCACCGTGCTCAGCTAATTTTTCAATTTTTTATGGAGATAGTATCTGACTATGTTGCCCAAGCTGGTCTTGAACTGGCCTCAAGTGATTCTTGTGCCGCAGCCTCCCAGAGCATTGGGATTACAGGCATGAGCCACCGTGCCCAGCCCAATGCTTGCTTTAGAAAGCACAAATATATGAACTGAAATTTTGTGTTCATTCTATCCAGTGTTTTATTTTCCCCTTTTTTTTAAATCAATTTTTGTTAAAGACATTTGGATTAGTCATTTTCATATATCTCAGATGCTTCCTAAGAAGTCTTTCTCCAATCCATACCCCTCTCTAGTCTACCTGACAAACTCCTGCTTACATTTTTAGTGATTTACAAATTTTGTCTCCTTTTGTGAGGCCTTCTCTAAACTTTAGTCAAAATCAGTTATTCACTGCACTATATTCTCCTACAACACTTTTTCAATTCTTCTTATAGCTTCTATATCTCACCAATTATAAATAATAGTATCTGTTCCTCTTCTTAGCTCCAGATGTGAAGTTCTGTGAGATCAGAAGCCTTTTTTTGCATTTCTAAGGCCTGGTAAGTAGGCCTTAGAAATGCAAAAAAAAAAACCGGTTTCTGATATCATAGAATTCATAGAATTTTTATGAAATAGGATTTTATCAAATATAATTGTATTCTATTTTATTCTCATGGAATAAAATAGTTGACTTTTTTAAGGAAAGAAAATCAGGCCAGGCACAGTGGCTCACGCCTATAATCCCAGCACTTTGGGAGGCTGAGGCAGGAGGATCTCTTGAGCCCAGGAGTTTAAGACCAGCCTCGACAACATAGTGAGACCCTGTCGCTACAAAAAATAAAATAGACTGGGCATGGTGGCTCACACCTGTTATCCCAACGTTTTGGGAGGCTGAGGCAGGCGAATCACTTGAGCCCAGGAGTTTGAGACCAGCTTGGGCTCCCATCTCTACAAAAATTAGCTGGGTGTGGTGGCATGTGCCTTTAGTCCCAACTACTCCAGAGGCTAAGGGGGGGATTGTTTGAGCCTGGGAGGTTGAGGCCGCAATGGCCCTGATTCCTGGGAAGTCAAGGCTGCAGTGGCCCTGATAGCACCACTGCACTGCAGCCTGGGGCAACATAATGAGACCCTGTTTTAAAAAGTAAAATAAAAATCAGCGTATTCTTTAACGCCTAAAAAAAAAAAAATTGAAACAATAATTTTAGGAGTTATATTTTCACCATCTTGCTAGAATTTTCATTTAGTAGCCTGTATCCAAAGGCTCTATAGTACTTAGATGCTATTCCCAAACAACTCTTTCTCTTTTTCTTTTTTGAGAGAAAAAAGTGTCTCAAGCACTTCTCCCATCTCAGCCTCCAGAGTAGCTGGGACTATAGGCGCATACCACCACGTCCTGCTAATTTTTTTGTATTTTGTAGAGATGGGGTTTTGCCATGTTACCCAAGCTAGTCTGGAACCCCTGAACTCAAGCAGTCCACCCACATCAGCTTCCCAAAGTGCTAGGACTATATGCGTAGGCCACCATGACCAGACCCTATTCCCAAGCAATTCATTAATCAAAGCTTATAAAAATATTCACCCTTAAGCTTACCTGCCTCATTTAGTGCTTTGAGAAAATAAAACTTCTCATTCCTTCAGGGTAGGAACATTGGGTTTATTGATGGCCACCCATTTCTACCGACCCCTTTCAGATTATTGTAAGAAATCTTTTAATCAATCTTTTTATCCTTCTAGGGTTTGGTCTTAAAGAGAGTCTGTGGAACAGTGTACAAGAACACTATTGTGTTGTGCTATGAGATTTACATCTGTAATTCTTTCTTTTTTTTTTTTTTTGTGAGATAGGTCTCGGTTCTTTCACCCTTTGGGGCGGCGAGTCCAATGGGTCAGTCACAGCTCACTGCAGCCTTAACCTTCTGGGCTCTCAAATGATCCTCCCATCCTCAAGTTCCCCAAGTAGCTGTAACTACAGGCATGGTGCACATGCCCGGCTAATTTTTTCCTCTTTTGTAACCAGATGCGGGTGTCTCACTATGTTTCACTAGGCTGATCTTGAAATTCTGAGCTCAAGCAATTATCTGTCTCCAGCCTTCCAAAGTGCTGGGATTATCTAGCATGAGCCACTGTGCCTGGTCTTTATCTGTAATTTTTATTATTTTTTTCTGAGATGGAATCTCACCTCCTGTCGCCCAGGCTGGAGGCGCAATCTCAGCTCACTGCAACCCACCTCCCAGCGTTCAAAGTGATCTCCTTCCTCAGCCTCCCAAGAAGGCTGGATTACAGGCATGCACCACCATGCCTGGCTAATTTTTGTATTTTTTAGAGAGAGACGGGGTTTCGCCATGTTGGCCAGGATGAGCTCTCGACATCCTGACCTCAGGTGATCCACCTGCCTCGGCCTCCCAAAGTGCTAGGATTACAGGCGTGAGGCACCGCACCAGCCTATCCGTAATTCTTAATCCTTAAACTTCACCTATTGTACTTCAGCAATGAAGTCATGAACTGACGTAGCTTGGAGATGTCTGAAGTCTAATGTAGAAATTGTTGAATTCCCAAATGTCACCTTTTTGTGAGCATTGTAAATTGAGATATCTACCAAATATGGAGAGCCATGCTTACTACGGTCGTGTACCGCAGAACATTTCGGTCAGTGATGAACCCACACTACTTTATTTTTACTATATGTTTCTGTGGTTTAGATACACAAGTAATTACTATTGTGTTACATTTGCCAACAGTATTCAGTATAGTAACATTTTCCCAGCAGTTGTCAGCCTAGAAACAATAAGCATACCATATAGCCTAGGTTTAGTAGGCTATGCTATGTTTGCACAACAAAATTGCCTAATGTTGCATTTCTCAGAATATATCCCTGTCATTAAGCAATGCATATGACTGTATTTTAAAGATGACATGTTTTGGAGTAAATAATTCCCCAAATTTTTACCTCATAAAAATGACAGTCTCCCTTTATGTTGCACGAGATTAGTATTGATTTTTTTTTTTTTTTTTTTTTTGAGACGAGTCTCCGCTTTGTCGCTTAGGCTGGAGTGCAGTGGTGCGATCTCGGCTCACTGCAAGCTCTGCCTCCCCGGGTTTCTTCCTGCCATTCTCCTGCCCTCAGCCTTCCCGAGTAGCTGGACTACAGGCACCCCGCCACCATGTCCAGCTCATTTTTTGTATTTTTAGCAGAGACGGGGTTTCACCGTGTAGTCCAGGATGGCTCGATCTCCTGACCTCGTATCCGCGCCACCTCGGCCTCCCAAAGTGCTGGGATTACAGGTGTGAGCCACCACGCCCAGCCTAGTATTAATTTTTTTATGTGTGACTTCCTTGACAACTTTTTACTCGTTCTTGCCTTTCCCTGCCAGACTAGTTAAAGAGAAACATAAAGCAAAAATGGTGGAAAGAACTTCAGGATCATCGATCCGTTTCTTAAAATCAAGGAAGTCATGCTGACAAATTTTAGGAGAACTCTTCTGATAATTCAGACATGCTTCATTTAATGACAGGGACATGGTCTAAGAAATGCAACATTAGGTGATTTTGTTGTGTGAACTTCACAGAGTATACTTATGCGAACCTAGATAGTATAGTCTACTACACACCTAGGCTGAATAATGTAGCCTGTTGCTCTTGGGCTGCAAATTTGTTTGTCATGTTTCTGTACTGAATACTGTAGGCAACTATAATGGTAAGTATGTATGTATCTAAACATAAAAGGGGTACAGTAAATTATAATTTTTTAAATATATAGAACAGCCTGGCGCGGTGGCTCAAGCCTGTAATCCCAGCACTTTGGGAGGCCGAGACGGGCGGATCACGAGGTCAGGAGATCAAGACCATCCTGGCTAACACGGTGAAACCCCGTCTCTACTAAAAAATATTAAAAAACTAGCCGGGCGAGGTGGCGGGCGCCTGTAGTCCCAGCTACTTGGGAGGCTGAGGCAGGAGAATGGCGTGAACCCAGGAGGCGGAGCTTGCAGTGAGCTGAGAACCGGCCACTGCCCACCAGCCTGGGCGACAGAGCGAGACTCCGTCTCAAAAAAAAAAAATATATATATATATATGTATATAGAACAGTTAGAACATACAGTATTATAATCCTTTTTTTTTTTTTTTTTTGTGACGGAGGTCCCTGTGTTGCCCAGGCTAGAGTGCAGTGGCACGATCTCTGCTCACTGCAACCTCTGCCTCCCGGGTTCAAGCTATTCTGCCTCAGCCTCCCGAGTAGGTGGGACTACAGGTGCGTGCCATTACACCCAGCTAATTTTTTGCATTTTTAGTAGAGACGGAGTTTTGCCATGTTGGCCAGGCTGGTCTTGAACTCCTGGCCTCAAGTGATTCACCCGCTCCAGCCTCCCAGGCATGAGCCACCGTGCCTGGCCAGTATTATAATCTTAAGTGACCACCATTGTATATGTGGTCCACTGTTGACCAAAATGTTATGTGGCATATGCCTGTATTAGATTTGGAGTGTAGGTGAAAGTGAAAGAGTTATCTTTTTTTTTTTTTTTTTTTTTTTAAAGAGACAGGATCTCGCTCAGTTACCTGTCTTGGAATGTAGTGGCACAAACATAGCTCACTGCAGTCTTGCATTCCTGAGCTTAAGCGATCCTCTTACCTCAGCCACCCAAGTAGCTGGGACTGCAGGCAAGCACCACCATGCCTGGTTAATTTTTTTATTTTCGTTTTTAGAGTCAGGGTCTCACTACATTACCCTGGCTAGTCTTGAACTCCTGGCCTCAAGTGATACTCCCACTTCAGCCTCCCGAGTTACTGGGATTATAAACATGAGCCACCAAGTCAGGCTTTTATCTTTAGATTAATATTAATTTATCATGTTATAGTTGTAAAAGCACAGAACTAAGAGTAAGGAGTTTTATACACATTACTACAGCTAGCAGCTTTGTGACCTTGGGCAAATATCTTCACTTCTCTGGCCCTTTATCTACATAAGGAAAACCGAGACCAGATAATTCTACATCTCTTCTTTCCAGAATTAAAGCATTTTAACGTAATATTATATCTGTTTTTCTGTTTGTCTTTTGCTTGCCAGGGAGAAGTTACACACTGGTTGGCATGTTCATTATACGTTGCATGCCGCAAAAGCATTATTCCCACGGTTGGAAAGGGTATCATGGAAGGCAACTGTGTTTCACTTACCAGAATACTACGTTCAGCTAAATTAAGGTAAACCTCTTTCATGTTTTTAAATGTTATATAAGCTCTAAATTTTAGAATCAGTTTTCTCTTGTTTTGGAAATCATTTGACTTCATTTAATTTTTATTTTATTTATTTATTTATTTATTTATTTATTTTTGAGACAGAGTCTCACTGTGCCAGCCAGGCTGGAATGCAGTGGCACAGTCTTGGCTTACTGCAATCTCTGCCTCCTGGGTTCAAATGATTCTCATGCCTCAGCCTCCCAAGTATCTGGGATTACAGACACACACCACTAAGCCCGGCTAATTTTTTGTGTTTTTTTTAGTAGAGATGGGGTTTCACCATGTTGCTCAGGCTGTTCTCGAACTCCTGACCTCAAGTGATCTGCCTACCTTGGCCTCCCAAAGTGCTATAGGATTACAGACGTGAGCCACTGTGTGACTTCATTTAATTCTAAGTTTGTTATAACGTAGATAATCCTTTCCCAATTTTCATATTCTTTCTCTGCCTTTCACAAATTCTGCTAGAAACCTCTGTGTTAAATCTTTAGCTATATTTTTTTAAATTAATTTTTTAAAATTTGGAAATAATTTTAGGCTTACAGAAAAGTTGCAAAAATAAGAAAAGGACAATACCCATATATCCTTGACTCAGAGTCACCTGTTACTGACATTTTACCCCTTTTGCTTTCTCATTTGATTTTTTTTTCTTCAATATATAGATCTGTCTCTCTTTCTCTCTTTTTTTTTTTTCGAGACAGAGTTTCGCTCTTGTTGCCCAGGCTAGAGTGCAGTGGTGCAATCTTGGCTCACCGTAACCTCTGCCTCCCGGGTTCAAGCGATTCTCCTGCCTCAGCCTCCCGAGTAGCTGGGATTACAGGCATGTGCCACCACACCTGGCTTATTTTTTCTATTTTTAGTAGAGATAGGTTTCTCCATGTTGGTCGGGCTGGTCTCGAACTCCCGACCTCAGGTGATCCACCTGCCTCGGCTTCCCTAAGTACTGGGATTACAGGCGTCAGCCAACCTTCCCGGCTAGACCTTCCTCTTTTTTTCCTCAACCATTTCAATCTAAGTAGCATACATTTATAGCCTTTTACCCCAAAATACTTCACTGTGTATTTCTTTAAATAACTACAGTACAGTTACCAACTTCAGCAAAATTAACACTAATAAAATAATTTTATCTAACCAGATATCTCTGTTCTAGTTTTGTTAGTTGATTCAATAATGTTCTTTATAGCATTTTTTTTTCTGGAAGTACAATTTCTAATTAAGGATCAAGTATTGCATTTGCTTATCATGTGTATTTATTCTTCTTTAATTAGGAACATTTCCACAGCCTTTCTTTTTCTTTTATGACATTACCATTTTGGAGGAATATTATCCACAATCACTTTGTCCCTTTCTTTAATTAAAAAAAAATTTTAGAGACCGGATCTTGCTCTGCCCAGGCCTCGAGTACAGTGGCACCTTTTTAGCTCACTGCAGCCTCAAACTCCTCAGCTCAAATGATCCTCCTACTTCAGCCTCCCAAGTAGCTGAAACTACAATCATGTGCCACTATGCCTGACTGATATTTAAAAATCTCTTTATAGAGACAGGGTCTCACTGTGTTACTCACGCTTGTCTCAAAGTCCTGACCTCAAGTGATCCTCTTGCCTCAGCCTTTTTTTTTTTGGGACAGAGTCTCACTCTGTTGCCCAGGCTGGAGTGCAGTGGTGCGATCTCAGCTCATCGCAACCTCCGCCTCCTGAGTAGCTGGGACTATAGGCACATGCCACCACACCCAGCTAATTTTTGTATTTTTGGTAGAGATGGGGTTTCACCATATTGGCCAGACTGGTCTCAAACTCCTGACCTTGTGATCCACCCGCCTCAGCCTCCCAAAGTGCTGGGATTACAGGCATGAGCCACTGTGCCCACCCTCATCCCCTCTTTGAATAGATGGTTCCCAGTTTTGGATTTGTCTCCTATTAACTTTTGATAAGATGCAGGTTATTCATTCCCTGATGGAAAACTATATAAGTGATTTTGTGTCCTAAGGAGATCACATCTGATGATGGCACGTGTTATCCACCTGCATCTCATTGGTGATGTTAATTTTTATCATCTGGTCAAGATGTTGTCCTATTTCTCTACTGTATATTAATTTTTTTCCCCTTGCAGCTACTCAATGGGTCTCAGATACATCTTTTACTTACTCTAGTATCAAGCATATAGAATTATTTGGCTGGATAGAAAACGAAACAAATTTAGCGATCCAGTTTAGATTCATGCTAATGAATATAATAATATTCTTTGTTTCTGGGACAAAACTATTTGTGGTCATTGTCTATTTGCTATTCCTGGGTTTCCAGAATAGAAGAGGAGCAAAGTTTAAAGCCCTATCCAGGAATGGCAAATAGATTTTAGTTCATGCTAAATTTAAATTTTTTTTTTTTTTTTTGTGTTCCTAAAACAATTTTGGCTTCTAACACCCACTAAAACTAAGATCCGCTACACACCGCTAACCTGCCGATCAGTGGGCGTCTATTTTTAATTTCGCGCAAGACCTATCCATTGTTCCGTATATCAAACAATCTGATCTTTCTCCTGTCCCAACTCGTTTCTCATACATTGTTCATACTACTGCAAATCTTGTAATAATAAATTCTGGAGGACTGAACAAAAAAGAATACACCGCCCTGTAAGCCCGTAACATTGGCAGGAGAATCACTTGAACGTTGGAGGTGGAGGTTGCAGTGAGCGCGATACGCGCCACTGCGACTCCAGGCCTGGGCACAGAGCAAGACTCCATCCTCAAACTAAAAAGACAAGGCCGGGCCCGCCGGTGCTCACGCCTTAATCCCGAGCACTTTGGGACCCGAGCCAGGTGGATCACAAGGTCAGGAGATTGCGACCATCCTGGCTAATAAGCTCGCAAACCCCCGTCCTACCTCCAAACCTACCAAACCCCACCTTCAAGCTCGGCGCGCCTGTAGTCCACTCCGCCGCCGCCGCCTGAGCGCCGGACGAACTGGGTGAACCCGAGCGTGGCAGCTTGCAGTGAGCCAGGATCATCGGCCCACCCCGCACTCCAGCTGGGCGGTGAGCTACGTCCAACAACAAAAAAAAAAAAACATCACCCTTTCAAATAATGAAACAAACTCTGGGGATGGTAAAGTGAATGATTGCACAATGTACTGTACCTACCCCTGCTACCTGACCTATACGACTCCCCTCCCCATCCGGTCTTGCCACTCGGTACACGCCCGGCTTGCTTTGCTACTGATGTCTTTCACCGCACCCGCCCACACATGGTACCTTCTCCATTTTCTCATCCCCTTCCACCCAAGCTCTACACCCCAGCACAAGCGTCTCTCCTGCGCCCCTCGCCCCCACCAGTTCCCCACTGCTCCACCTCCCCGCCCTTGCCGGAGCGCAGGCGGCAGATCACCTGAGCCGCCCCGGAGTGTCAAGCCCACAGCCCTAGCCACTGATGAACACCCGTCTTTACTAAACTACAAAACAGTTAGCTGGGCATGGTAGTGGCGGCCCTGTAATCCCCAGCACTGGGGAGGCTGAGGGAGGAGACATCGCTTCTGAACCCAGGCAAACGGAAGTTCTTTCCGCCAGTTGCGCAGTGCAGAGATCATGCCATTTGTACTCCAGTGGGTGATCAAGAGTGGACACCTCCATCTGAAAGCAAAAAGACAGAAGCGAAGGCGGCC